TAATTTTTTATCAATAAATGATTACTTACTTACTAGGCATTATCATTTTGGAATTAAGAGCTAACCGCCCCGGGGGTTTCTGTATTTTTGACATAAAAAAATAATGCAATAAAACATCATCCTTATAATTCTGATTGTACAATTAAATATATTTAAATTATCTTGTAATTTCTGCGATATTAAGTCATTTGATCAAAATTATTTTAGACCTTATCCTTAATGCACAATTTCCCAGTTAATTTTTTTTTTGAAAAATAGATTCTCTTCACTGTACAGTGTACACAGAAGACTGTTAAAACAAAAACCGATATTAATTCTCAAATTGTAAAACGGCTGAACCGATCGGGCCCAGATTTTTTGTGGGCCATCACGTGGCCCCAGGGAAGGTTTATAGATGATCGAATTTTCAAACATTTGCCTCTATCAAAATTTGATTTTTGAAAATTTGAAAAATCCACGGAATTTTTTTTAGAAAATCCGCGAAACTTTAGTTTTGTTTTTCTTTTTCAATGTGTACAAAGAGAAAATGTTCAAAATCAAAATAGAAAATGGGCTCGAAGCGCCCTGTCAGCATAGTTTTAATATATCTTATATAATTAACTTTTGTGGACTATACGATAGTTTTAGCATATATGTATTTAAAATAGAGTCTCTCTTGATGATTTTATTTATGTTTGGGTTTATTTTTCCTAAATTATTTTTTTTTTAAATGAGAAACGGTGGTTGTCACTGTGAGTTGTGATAAGTTGTCGCCTGTTTTTTTTCTATGGCCTAGGGATGGGCATAGTTTTATTTAAACTAACAAAATTTTTGAGATCGAGCATAATTTTTTGCGAATAAGGGCGTCGTTCATAAAAAAACGAAGAATGGAGGAACGAAGTGGATCGTTCAGAGCGATGAAAAAATTATAATCTTTTTTAAAAAGTTCGAAAAAACTTGAAAAAAGGAATGTTTTTTTAATGAACGAAATAATTTTCCAAAAGATTTTGAAAAAAAATTTATTGGACGAACGAATTTTTAGAATTTTTTTCTAATAAAAACTATTCTTTTTTATTTAACCAACGATTTTATTGAACAATTTATTTTACGGAACGAACAGTGAGAAAACGAACGAAATAGATGGAAAAATAAAAAATTATTTTGAGAACGAATGGAGTAAATATTTTTAACGATTGAATAAAAAACGAACGAAAGGGATTGTTAACGAACGATGAACGAACGAAATGAAAAAAGTCGAACTTGCTTAAAATCTTTATATCAATTGTATCTTGTAACTTGGCCATCTTTATTTTAAAGTAAAAAAATCCTCTCAATAATTATTGCACCTCCCATATTACCAACAAATCTGAACAATCCCTAAAAGAATCTCTTTGAGAAAATTTAATAGAATTAAATTCTATTAAATCTTTTTTGAAAAGAATTTAACAAAAGAAAAGCAATCTTAACAGATTTTATAAAAGAATACTTTTAGGCAAACTATATATCTCAGGTGTATTTCATTATTTCATAACAACAACAATAGATGTTGAATTTACATTTTCTTTATTCAATAAACTTGGATTTTTATTCCATGGGAATATGTCAATATTTATTTTCTTAGAAAACATTTATTTTTAGAAGATATCATTATATGTTTAAAAAAATTACTGGTGGTAGTTTCTCCAAGAGCTCACTGGGACAGAATTGCTAAATATGTTGATACGTTTTATTTGTAGCATTTTTGACAAAATTACATTAATTAACAAGAACAATTAATATTTCAGATATTTTTATAAGCAGAAATATTTTTAAAACGATTTATTTAATTGCTATAGCTCTTCTCAATAAAAATACGAGATATTTAAAGCAACCCCCTTAGCAAAATTCAAAATTTTCACATTGGTTTTTATATTCATTTTATTGCTTCTGCGAGGCATTTGTACTAGATAATAGATATATCTTTATTTGCGGCTTCAAATCATATGTTATGTTAGCTAAGATACAGGGTGTCCCAATAAACATGGGAGTTCAGTGACGAATTCGATATCGTCTTTNGGAAGAAAAGGAGGGGGAAGGTAATATTTATATAATAATGAAATAAAGGGAGGGGGGAAGGTAGTATTTATCTTAAATCAAAATGACTAATTACTTACTTCAAATTAATTTTTTAATCCCTTTCTCTTTGTAACCTGATATCTCAAACCTTTCTTATTTCCAACTGAATTCTGCTAGATCAAATGGTCAAGTTCTGTTTTATAACACGTTTACACCATCAGGTTTCAAAGCTATAAGAATGAGATAATTTGAGTTTGTGGAAAACCAAACTTCTTTCCATTTCAAAATCCTATATCTTTGCTACAGTTTTGATATTTAAAAAAAAAACAATTATAGGTTTTAAATTAAATACACTGGTAGGCGATTATATAAATAGAAGCTGTCAACTCAAAAAGCTTCTCTTTGATTACTTGTAAACTTTTGATTAGAAAAAAGTTTGTTAACAATCAAAACTTAAATAAAAAAGAAGTCTAATTGTTTTGATATAATCACCTACCACTGTACTGTACTGTACTGTACTGTACTGTACTGTACTGTACTGTACCACTGTAGATTAAGTTTGAAATATCAAAATTATAAGTTTAAACAGGTTTTTTGGAAGGTTTTGGAGTGTCGAGTTGGTTAGATTTAAGTTCATTACTGTACAAGTTATGATCAATAAATGACGAATTTCATTCCGTTTTCTTCTGGTTATTTATAACTGCATGTTTTGGGTTAAATACAGTGATAACCAGAAAACTCTGGAATAGAAAGACGACTTTTAGAATCAAGTTTTAACTTTAAAAATTTCAATGCCGACGAAACACAGCAATTGTGCAGTGTAAAAACACCCATTTCACAAAAAAGTGTCTGGTGTCTGGTAAAACCATTTGCTTTGTAACACCATCAACTACACTTAAGTATTGCTATAATGTCGTCTTCCTATTTGATCGGTATCTGGATATCACTGTATATATAAATGTCCTCTGGCTTTTCTCTCTTCTATAAGGATTAAAGAAAACTTCTAATCTGCATTTCTTTCTATAAAGAACAAGGGTTGAGCTTGTTCTTAAATGTAAAATTTAATCATAAAATAGTATTTTTTACAAACTATATAAAATGGAACTGTCTAATAATTTTGGCCATTTTCTGTAGCACTGATGCGGCTATAAAAATATATCAAAACTAGGCTTTTAGGGTGCTTCGCGCCCATCTTCTTTTTCAACTTTTAATTGTGGCCTTATCTGTGCGCATCATCTCTTTATACAGTATAAAACAATAACAAACAAAACAGTTTGCGGATTTTTAGCGCATTTTTTAAAATTTTAAAAATTAAAAAAACCTTTAATCACTAATTTTTGAAATTTTGATCATTCATAAACCTTCCCTGGGGTCACGTGAGATTCCACACCAAATTTGGGCCCAATCGGTTCAGCCGTTTTGACGTTTATTGGATACAAACAAACAGACAGACAAGCCAAATTTTCATATAGATTAATTTCAAATCCAGAGTTTTTTTAAATGCTAAAACTGATCCAAAAAAAAATTTCAAAAAGTGTTGAGCTGATCCGAAACATAAAATAATTCTTTTTTATTTTTCAGATATTTAAAGCATAAAAGAACTATACTATAAATACTAGTTTTATTATTTTTTAACATAGTTTTATAAATGTATACATTTAAATAAAAAAATGGCTTAGGCATTAGGAATCACCTTTTCTTAAAGATCTTTAGTTTTTATCACAAATCATCAAAAAATTGTCGCTTTAGCAATAATTCAGAACATTTGTTAATAGATTATAAATATAAAGAAATAATTGTTGAAACTTTAATAAAAAACAAATTGAAAATTGTCACATCCCGACATCCTTGGTGTTTAAAGTTATTTATCATATATAGAGGAAAATGTCCAATTTACTTATCTTTCATCGAAAACGGATATATCATTTTTTTTCTTGCTGATAGTGAAAATCAAGGTAATAAGGCAAGAAAAGTTAATAGCTGTTGCGTATTCTCTGCGTACATATTGAAACCAGCTCTCTCTAGACTGTGTTTGTAAACAAGATGCATTAGTGTTCCTCTAGTATCCGCGGTGTATAAAAGCATTAAATTTTAATAATTCACATAATGGTTTTCTATGACCAGACTATTTTATTTATTTTTATGTGAAAGATGGATTTCATGCATATCCCATGTCAGGCTGTGACATCCGTCTTGTGTTTACTTTACAGCCCAGAGACAGTACACTTTATACCTCAGTACATACACCTCTGAGAAAACTATCTTTACATTATAATTCTTTGCTGAAAATTACTTCATGTACAGTATACACATGCAGTACATTTTGTGCAAATGACGTCATTTTTGTTTTAGCTTGAAAGTTATACTGTACATTTTTTCAATAAATACATAAAATTATTTTTTTTCTTTTCGGCCACCAGGTGGCGCTAAAGTGGCGCCGTTGGTGGAGGGTTAGAAGTGGCGCTTTGTCATTCCTCATTATTGAATAATTTATTCAATAAAGCAGAATATAAATCACTGGCAAGTTAAATTTACCATGCAATGCATGAAGAATTTTTGATTAAAATGATAAATAATTCCAAGGGTCTAATGCAAGGAAAGTTAATTGCGGTCATGTATACTCTGCGTACATATTGAAACCAGTTCTCTTTGGGCGGAATTTTTAAACAAGAATAGATGCATCAGTTTTCGTTTAGTATCCGAGGAGGTTTACAGCATTAAATTTTGATAATTTTGATAATTCACATAATAGTTCCCTAGATGACCAGAATATTACATTGATTTTTGTATGTGAAAGATGGATCCCATATCAGGCTTTGACATCTGTCTTGTGTTTACATTACCGCCCAGAGACAGTACACTGCAGTACAAAAGATGTTTAAACTTCTGAAATAACTTTCCTTGCATTACATCCTTGAATAATTTGAAATATTTCTAGTTGCTTGGATAAACAAAAAATAACAAAATAATTTAAAATTTTGATATAATTTATTCAAAAATATGTGATTGCTTGATCACACGATTTTGAATAAAATATACAATCTTGAATTTTACAGTGAACTGACATCTCTGTCGTCGATGATCAGACAAAGGGTACCATTGTAAATCGGACATACATTGCCAATTTACGAATTTCAAGATAAGGTTGGTTTCCTCAATTTGAAATTTGAATTTAATCATGTTTGGCCTTCCGCCTACAAAAATGTATAAAATAGAAAAGGCAAAAAAATTGGATTAAATTTTAAATGTTTTGATAGAAAGTCAAAATGTTGACTAAACTGTTGAATCAGCGTTGATAGGTCATTTGAAATTGCAATGACCTCTGCAGTTTCTTTACTAGAGATTCTAAGAGAAATATTAACTTCTGACAAGCACACAGTTTATCTGTGCACGGATATTCTGCGCTTAGGCGCACAGCAGTTAGACTTGGTTTCAATTTCTCTGAGCTTAAGCGCACTTGTTTGCACTTCGACATCCTCGTTGCTACACATTTCCCTAGAGTAAATATGTTTGCAAGAAATTGAATTATTAAAACTATCAATAGAACTTAACTGTCCTATCTATTGGAAAGGGTTAATATAAAGCAACCATGATTTTTTTTACACTTTTGATAATTAACTATGGGACGCATGTATGCTATTATATATAATTCAGTCGATTAGGAGAGAAGCTGAACAGCCTAGATCTACCTACAACATTAAATGAATAAAAGGATCAAAAGTAAAAAAAAAAATTTTGTAAATTTTTCTCGGCATAGAAAGTTCACCAGAGAATATTTTACATTAAAAAAAAAATTAAAAAAAAAATAAAAATAATATTACTAATATTATTTGTTAATGTTAAAGTCAATGTTAAACATCGCAATTTTCAGGCTTACAGTTGCTAATTAGGCCATGAAATTTAGTTTACAAAAAAAGAGTATTAAGTATACTTTTTAAACATAGAGTATAAAGTATACTTTTTAAACATAGAGTATGTAGTATAATTTATAAACATAGAGTATGAAGTATACTTTTTAAACATAGAGTATGTAGTATAATTTAGATATACCTAGTAGAACTATACCTGGCTAGTAGAACTAAACTGTCTGCAATATTCATCCCATCTTTCGAACTTGTTTCAAAGAAAATTGCACTAAATGAAATGATTAACTTTAATGTGTATATAGGAAAATTTAATAATCTCAAATGAGAAAGAACATTATGGATTAAAATAATACTAAATGTTGAATAACAATGATAATAAAAGTAATAAACCCATCCCATATTCCATTTGATAATTTTCGCTTTTATCTAGTTTTTGTTTTGTTCGTTTTCGACATAGATTAATTAAAATAACAGATAAGACACTAGATGTCGTCTTTTCAAGAATTGGGAAAAAAACTTGTGCACAAAACCCTGAGGCAGAAGTCCGGAGGAGTTTCGCACAGTGGTCTGGTCTAAATTGGCTAATTTATCTTGAGGGAACCCATGTTTTTTTAATTCCACTAGCGACCTTAGCTAAAATCATTAATTAAAACCAATAGACGGCGGGGTTTACTATGACTATTACCTAATAATTTAAACCTGGGAAACGCCGGGCACAATACATTATTTCCTGCAGAAGTCGTCGTTGTTTTCCATTTTATTGTAGGGATTACTGTACCTGTATTCCCGAGCCATAACTTCTCCCTCCTCTCTCGTAACACATCTAAAATATTGTTAAACAAAGTTGAAAAGATAAAAATCAGAAAATTTGAATGAAAAACTTCGATATTCTGAATCCAATGGCGAACAGCTGCAAAAGATCTGTCGGAAGTGACGTCATACAGAAGCATAACACCGTCAGCCCGCCGGAAATATGTTTTCGTCACACTTCGAAACCTTTCCTGACCTAAACAAAATTTCTATGCCAATAGAGAAAACATCTGAAAAGTAGGGTTTAAAATGTTCGTTCAGTCAACGAAAATGAGAACAAAAACAAAAATTTTCTTTTATAAATTTCGCGACATTCGTTAAATTCGTTCAAAACTTTCGCAAAATTCGTTCGAAATTTTCGTGAAATTCGTTTAAAATTTGTGTGAACTTCGCGAAATTCGTCGTCGAAAATGCATCATAATTCGCAAAAATGAATGAAAATGAAAGAATTTCGTTCTTTCATTTTCGCAAAATTGTAATCTTGAAGATTATGAAAAGAAACTGATTTTTTAATCTATATATCTTTGCAACCCGATGTTGAAGACTCGTTATAGTTGTTGTATGTATTACCCCCTCAACCTGTATATTTATAACTAGGGATGAATCGTTTTCACTTTTTTGAAAACAATCGTTTTGGAAAAAGATCGTCTTTAGAAACGATTGTTTTTTAAGAGTTCAAAATGAGTGATTCGTTTTCAAAAACGACTTTTTTTCTAAAAACGAAACGATCGTTTAAAAAAACGAAACGAAATACGATAATTTTTTAAAGGATTAACAACCATATTTATAACCTGCTGTGTCCCAAAGCTGGATAGCTATATTTCTGTCATCTACTCGTATTGTCTTCACTTGGAAATCAACACCTTCATAGACAATATTATTATAAAAGTTTAAATAGATTTAAAGGGATTGTTTCTTATTCTGCAGAATGCGGGTAAAGAACAAAACTAAACTGGTGTATTTTCTTCTTGTCCATCTGAGGTTCTTTAAAAAAATTTGATAAAAAAAGTTGCCATCATTACAGTGATAACCAAAAATAAGGGAATGATCCAAAAAAAATTAGAATTGCCGTTAGTAAGTTTGATTTGTATGAATATTTTAACTTCAGAAATGTATTAATAGCCCATTTTCAGAGACGTAACAGTTTTGAATGACAACATATTTTGACGTTAACCATAAACAGGCGGGGGGGGGGTAGACGAACCGAAGACACATCTAAAAATAAAACTTAATTTATTGTTTCATCAGTGTTTTAATTAATGGTAAAATTAGAACTAACCGATTAGATAACTGTCTGCTTTACAAAAACAGAGAAAACATGTCTTGCTATCTCCATACGACGAACTCATTCATTAAACAAATATTTTACCGCCTATAGACCAACAGTACCGACCTATTATTCCCCCCTAAGAGGGAAGTTATGTTGCGTAACGTCCCTTGGGCCAGTTATGTAAAATAACCACCCGTTTTGCGAAGTTTTCGGTGAAAAATCGCGCTTTTTCATCTCAAAATACAATAAAATTTTGTAAAACTGCTTTTTTGGGAAATAAAAAATTTACTTAACCACGGGTTTCCTAAACTCCCTGGTGATGATATTAAGATTATAATTAATAATACTAATAAATGATTATTATCTTAATATCAAAAAAATTTAAAAAGTGCAATGTTTAATATGAACCACCCTGTACCTAGTGTTGAACTAAGGTTTGAAAGGAAGACCCCCTTGGTAATTCTATTTATAAATGATGTTTTTCCAACTGCAGCATCCCCAGCAAACACAACCTAACAAATAAAGTTTTTGTGCACGTGTACTGTACTGTACAGTACTGTACTGTACTGTACTGTGCGTGTACTGTACTGTACTGTACTGTACGTGTACTGAAATTAATTAATTTATTTGGGATTGCTGTTTTTTTAAAACCTAGTTTAACAAAAAAAACACCATCAATGGATTTTTAAACAGTGTTTTTTAACAAAAACACCCTCATTGGATCATTAAACAGTTAAAAAAACCGCCATTGATCTTTAAAAGTGGTTTAAACAATAAAAATAGGAACTGATCTTCAAAAAGTTTGTCAATGGCAGAAATATTTGCCCAAAAATACTGTTTTCTATATTTGTATGGCCCGTTGCAAAGATTTTTATGAATGACTTATTTTCAAATCAAGAAAGCAATGAAGAAAAAATATAAAATCCATCATTTTAAAGATGGATCTTCCAAAATTCATCTTTTATATTTTATGATCAACAATAAAAAGGCTTGAGAATGTTCAACTTGAATGTTCATCTACAATAATTGTTTTGATGAGTAATTTAAAAATTTGTTGAAAATTAAAATATGATTATACTTAGACCTTATAAGTTCTATCAGGGGGCCCGGTGGGCTCAAGGTTTCCAGAGAAACTTGGAAATTCTCGAATATTCTCTCCTCCCCTAATCTTTCATTGTCATTGTCATCATTATCATAATCATTGTTGTAAGTATGGTTAACACTGTCATGGATATTTTTGTCGTTATTCATATATGTATAATTTTCATCATCAAAATCAACATCATTATTTGTTTTGTTTTGATTAAAATTGTCATTATAATCAAAATCATAACCAACATTTTATTCTCATTAAAAACATCATTATTCTCGTTCTTAATATTGGTATTGTTTTCCAAAACCAATTATCAGTATTACTCTTTGAATTTGAATTATTTACATACAAATATTTCATTTTCTCTCAAAATTGTTATAATTATCATCAATTTCATCACTTTCAAGAAATTGTCATTATCATTATCAAAATAATCATATCATATCATTAAAACCATTATCATGTTTATATCGTCATGGTCTATATCACTATCACTTTCAATACTATTATTATCAGCGATGTGATTATCATCTTCAATGAATGATTCCTTGAAATATTGTAAGCTGGATAATCAACAGAAACCTCTCTGTGGAAAGATGGATTAAAAACAAAACAAAAAATTAAAATAATCATTGATAGTACATCGATAACCTAAAAAAACAGATTTTCAACCATAACAGAAAAAATAAAAACGTAGAGAAAACATCATCATTCATAGAGTAATGTACAGTGGAAGGCGATTATATCAATACAATAAAAACAACTTTTTATTTAAGTTTTTTTAAGCTTTTTTCGAATTACAAATTTACAAGTAATTAAAGAAAAGCTTTTTAATTGACAGCTTTCCTTGACTTCCTTGTTTATGTGTAACAATGCTGTTTAACTGCTTGATATTAATCCAAATTTAAATCGAAAGTTTTCTTTATTATATTGATATAATCACCAAACACTGTAATAAAACTAAGCTTTAACATTCAATTTTACATTATCAATCATTACCAATTCCATTAATAAATTTAATCAATCAAAAAACATGAATCATAATAAAATATATAATTAGATTAAGCTTGACAGTTAAAAAATGAGAAGTTTATTATTATCCTTTCCTTGATAGTCGGCCTAACCCACATAGAGGTGGAACAGTTGGCCTGTAACAAAAGTATAAAGTATAAAGTAAAGTGACATCTCAGATATTTATTTTGTACAAACCCTCCTTTGCTCCTCGCAGAAACACTTAACATTAAGGGGACTGTAGAGGATAAATGAAAGGGGGTATAGGCTGAAACCTGAGAATCTCAGGCGTTGAACGATATACATACAATTGACAAGAAATTGATATAAAACTGTGTCAGAATTATACCAAAGCGTATATTTAAGCACCAAAACGAAGTAATATACATTCATATCAGGGGGGAAGATAGTTCTCTACCTGTGTGCTCAGTTAGCTGTACTGTAAACTTACAACTGTTTACTAATACTGATATACTATAGGTTAGGCCAGAATAAACTTATAATAAACAAATATGCAGTACTCTCTCGGTATAGTTTATGGCCTATAAAATTAGTAAAGGATTAGCGTACATCATCACTCTTTATACTATAACCTCGTTGGTTTATATCTTGTTTAAGTGTTTATTATAATATATCGCTTAAAGAGACTGTTCACGTATTTTCAATCGACCCTCTATACAATTAGACTGCAATTAACCCAATTCATACCGGTATCTTTGATCATCAATCAATACAGACACACTTAAGATAAAGGTTATGAACCAAACAATGATTTATTGTAATAATATGTCGCATAATTAAATATAATTTGCACCCAGTTCATGCTATTCAGTGTATACATTGTTCCCCAACGTGGAATGTACAAATGCCAATTTACATAATACATTATAATTTTTACTGTTCAATATGACATTGCTAACCCTGATATTAAGTGATATTCTTTGTAAATGACAAATAAGCAATATTCAAATAAAAACTAGTTAGAAATGTATAACTCCAGTTTCAGAGATATATTATAATCTATATATTCCACACAGTCTTCAAATTCTCTCATACTTTGAGGGTAATTAACCTCACACCAAAATGAATAGACCAAGAAAAATCTAACCTGGGAGGTATATATAGACTTGGAATTTTTTTGGAACTTTTTCTGGTGCCTCGATCAATCTTCAATAATAAATACACAAATTAAAATATTTAAATGCCTCCTGAAATTTATGAAAAACGTACCCCGTCAAGGTTGGAAGTTTTAATAAATCCTACAATATTAAATCCTGCTGTATTAAGATATTCTTTTGACAAACTTTTTCAATATGACCTTTACAAATGCTGGGATTAGAATATGATTTCTGAAGAAAATCCTTAGAATCGATGTAAGTATAAGCGTATCATAATACTGGAATGGGCTGGCTTAAATATAATCTATACCTGTAATGGGCTGGCTTGTATATAATCTATACCTGGAATGGGCTGGCTTGTATATGATCTATACCTGGAATGGGCTGGCTTGTATATGATCTATACCTGGAATGGGCTGGCTTGTATATGATCTATACCTGGAATGGGCTGGCTTGTATATGATCTATACCTGGAATGGGCTGGCTTGTATATGATCTATACCTGGAATGGGCTGGCTTGTATATAATCTATAC